ATAAAAAATTATATATTATAAAAAGATTTTAATAAATAAATTTATTACATTAAAAAAAAATTAATTACATTAATAAATACATTTAAAAAAATATTCATTTGATAAAAAGAGTATTTATTTAACTATTAATTAATAATTCATAAAATTATTATAGTAGAAGAATTGGAAACTACAACCATCTAACGATAAAAGTAATTAATGAAAACTATTATCTAATAAAGATTAGTTAAATTCAAATAATAGCGTCTATTTAAGATTGCATATATTATGTGACGATATAGTGACGATATTTTATTATTCATTTTTTTCAAATTAAAAAGCATTCGAAAAAAAGTTACGAGAATTTATTTTATTAAAAATAATCAAAAAAATATAATTTATTCGCATATATTATAAAAATTGCATAATATATTTCAATTTAAAATACAAAGTTTTATCATTATTATGAAGTAATTATTAATTCAATTTGATTAATTACATTTTCTCTAATAAAAATATCCTTTATAAGAAATTTATATGATTTATATTTTATTTATATATTCTTTAATAATTTATGACAGTAATATAGAGATAAAATATAAATAATATTTCAACTTCAAAATACAATGAAAATTAAAAAATGAGATTTATAAAAGATCAAAGTTGAAAGATACAGTCAATGAATATATACAAGTCTTCATAAGTGAGAAAGCAAAAGTGAATAATTTCAGGTTAGTTTATGAATATTTCTTTATAAATTATTAGAACTAATGAATTAAAATAATTTCTAATTGATAAATTTTTGAAATTTTAAAATTTTCTTTAAAATAATATACGTCATTAAATATTGTAAAATAAAAAATAAGAAAATACCGATTAATTTTTATGTTTTATATGGTAATTTTTTTTTATACAAATATGAAATTCGTAACATCGTAATTATATGATATCACTAATGTCATTAATATACATTTCATACTAATTAATGTTAATATATTCTTTAACATAATTCTTTAATAGAAATATCAGATATATTTAACATATATTTGAATTACATAAAAATTTCTTTTTTACAGAGATTGATAGTAAAGTTAACTGATGATTTGCTATTAACTGTGCAGTTATCAATTTACAACTATCAGTTGAAACAACTAATAATTTCTTGAATTCAAATAATTGAGATTATGTTGTACAATTGTGTATACAAGAGAGTTCTTCAATAAGTATTAATTTTATTGCACACAAATTGAAAAATATAGTGTTTTAATATATTTTATAGAAATGGATATATAACATGTTATTTAATCAAGATATCATCACAATCAAACTGAAATAAATATACTGTTACTATTATTAAAGTATATTTGATAGTGAAAGATAAAAAAAAAAAAAAAAGAAATTTTTCATTCTGAATGCTAAAAAAGGACTTATTTATCATTAAGGCTTCTTACATCAACTTAAACATTAAAATAATAAGGTTAGATTAAAAAACATATTTATAAGAAATAATTGGATATTTGTAAGAATTATATTTTATTCCTTTGGTAACAAGTATAAAAAGACCAATACAATATAAATTATGATGTAAGTCAAATTTTATATAATTAATGTAAAAAAAATGTTTTCAAGACTTCGTGGATTTGTGAATCGTCATAGACGAAAGTTTATAGTGGGAGGTATTGTTGTTGGTAGTATTATTTTTATCAGATATACAGCACGTAGACTTCGAGAATGGCAAGAGAAAGAAATAAAAGATATGCTAGACAGATCAAAACGTCGGCAATATTTTGAATGTAATGAAAGAACATGTAGTCAGATGATAGTATCTCTCACATCAACTTTAAGAGATTCTATAGTAAAAGTTTTGGATACTAATACTATTGTAAATAAGCTCAGAAATGGTTGTCCTGATAAAATAGCATGTTGGAATGAATTAAAAGTTTTAGCAATTGCTAGGTCTGCTGTAGTAGTTTATTCATATGCTATGTTGGCAACTTTAATAAGAATTCAATTTAATGTAATGGGTGGTCATGTATACAAGGACATTCAAAATTCTAATGGTACAACTACAGAAAATATTATACAAACAAAATATATGTCACTTTCACGTCATTTTATATATGATGAAATAAAAAAATTAAGTTTACTTATAAAAGATAAAGTGGCAGAAATAACAGCATCAATATCTTTGAAAGATGAATTAACTTTAAGAGATATAGAAGAAATATATTGGGCTTTAACATCTTCTATTTCTGCAGATAGTTCAAAGAATCCTATAAAAAATCTTGCTGAATATATGCTATTGTCAAATTGTGAGGAAGAACAATCACCTATACTATTAAAATTATTCAATGAAACATTGGATCTTTTGGAAACTGAAGAAGTACAAAATTTAACACAAAGTAATATTAGAAATGGATTTAGTTTATTAGTGGACCATATTTCTGCATTCTTTGTTGGTTCTCCTATAATAGAAAACAGTAAAACTGCTCAAAATGGTATTTCAGTGCCAGGAACATCAAATCAAAATAGCATAAGCATGAAATATGATTCAAGTATATTTACAAATATTAATAAAATATCAATGCCAATGGCTAAATTAATACCAATTATAAATGGACAAGTACCAGATAAATCAACATCAAGAGATTTTCAAAATGATTTATTACAACGTCTTATAACAAATAATGAACTTAAAACACTTGGAGCAAATATATATGAAGCATTTAGTATTTAAATTTAAAAATTTAAATATTCGTAATATCAGATATTATATGTAAAAGTAATTAAAATAATTGTTTAACAAATTATATTTGATAAATATAATTATAAAT